ATATATATATATATATACTCAAGGCACTGCCTTGTTTCAGACTTGTTCGTAGCTGTACCTTTCCAAGCTGCGAAGTTGCAGTATCGGACATGTGACCTGCCATGCTGACGGTGCCAAGTGGGAGCCAAAAAATACATATATACGTATGTGTATATATATATATATATATGAATACACATATACTAGTTGCTAGTTCTGGTGGACATAAGCACGTAGGCTCTGCGTTCCTGGGGTGTTCGATGTGTTGTATTTGCGTTTGCAGCTGTACGAGGTTTCGATCCCCACTGCAAGTCCGATTCCGATGCAGAGGAAGCCTTGGGAGAGGGCACCCAGCTTCAGAGTATCGATGCGTTGCTGACATCTCATGCTGTTGGTGGGGATTGTTCTTTGCCTCCCAGGTGCGATCCAGGTCTGTCGTGAGATGGGGTTCGCTTGTGCCCGACTCGGAAACCGAGGTCTAACAAATGCCCAGAGCGTTGCTTGTCGTTGTGGTTGTGATGACTTTAAAGCCTAAACCTGACTTGGCTTTCAGGTTTCAGTGCAGCCGTGGGTGCTATAGCCGGTGTGCGGTAGGTGGTCACAGTTGGTCCCAGCTTATATTCCGGGCGCAATTGTATGTTGTCATTCGCGACTTCCTGCTTCGGTGAGTTCGCACCTTCTCAGTACACTCAGCAGCGGGCGACTTTTGCCTCACCCCCGGCGTGCACGGACGCATTCAGGCTTAAAGTAGCCGGAACCATAGTCAGTTTGAACAGCCGAGTAGACAGGGTCGGCAAAAGCATCCAGGCAGCGCTTTCGGTATTCGTAGCAACAGGCTACTGAGGGAAGTCAGCTATCATCTTTCATCAACTCAGACTGGACTTCATAGTATGGCCTAGTGCGGGAATCAATCAGCGACAATCCAATGGACGGTTCGCCGGAGCGTCTGCAAAACTTCATTTCAAAATGCGCGGCAGATGAGGCCAAGTGAAAGTGAGCCGGCTGTGTCTGACAGTTCTGGCAGATTCAGTCCTGCCAGGGGTTGGCTGTTGAGGAAGTTTCAAACTCTCCCCTCACAAGCCGCCAAACTTCAAGTTTGCCCGGTGTCATGGCGGAGATTCGGATGCCGGAGGGGCAGGAGGGTAGCTTTGGCATCTAGTGACCAGTTGTTCATGCTTATCGTGACCGCTGTGGACTGTCCAGAGACGCATGCCAGGGTGCTTGGAAAAGAGCTTGCTGCTACTGTACCAAGGTAATTCTTGCCAATTTCCAGCAGGGGACTCTTTTGAAAAGCTGCCCAGCTGCACAAAGCCGCTGGGGTCTTCCGTCCAGCGAGCGGCAACTTCTGCCTTTAGCTCTGCCAGCAACTTGGTCGGAGGCTGCTGCTGGACGCACAGTCCAGAATCGGAACTTGGCTGTCGGCCGTGGACCTCCAGGCAGACTCCACAGCCTCAAGGTGCGTTCCGATCCGGGAGAGAGAACATCCCGATCCTGCGGGTGCAAAGGCTCCCTGCATGACAGGTCACTTCCGGGACAGGCAGAAACGCCGGATGCGTCTGAGCAAGTGTCGCAACTGCCGCAGCCAAAGGTGTGTTTTGGATGCAAAGATCAAAGTTGAGCTTTCTCGGATGGGTTTTGGAGTCGGTGTCGATGCTGATCTATTTTGTCTAACCGGCATCGGGCGTGTGCCTTCCGAGACGAGGGACATGCGGAACATGCAAGGTCCGCGGCAGCTAGGAGACTGCAAGAGTGGAGGTTGACACGGGAGTCCACGCGGCTTGCCCGAAATTTGAAATGCAGCTGGTACATGCCGGTACCCCATACATGGCTATGTTCCATGTTCTTTCTAACTCATGCGGGACACTGCGCCGGTAGCCTAGAAATCCTACGCGAGGTTGAGTGCAGACGCGGAGGCTCCACACGGAGCGACTGTCCCAGCTGAGCCTCAGCAGGAGCTAGAACAACCATCGACACGGCATAGTGATTCGCTCCATAGCCAACCCTTGCAGGAGCTTGGCGAAAGTGGTGCAGCACAGCCGAGTGACCCAGTCGTAGAGGCAACAGTTGGTGAGGCGATGGTCCGAATTCGGATATCGGAAGAGCCGCCAAAAACAGTCGCACAATTGGCTGCCACCTTCGAGCGGCCTTCCAACGTGCACCCAAAGGGGAAGGCCGATGTCACTTCTGCGTCGATGTCGAAGACACCTGCGCAGGTGCGGCTGTCTTCGCTTCCGATCGAAGAGCTTTAAACTGGTCAGTTGTATTCATTCAACTTGCGGGAGGAGGAAGGTGACGAGCCTGACGAGCAGCCGGCGAGAGAAGCAGAAAGAGCGGATGAGGCCAAGCCCGTCGAAGCGAATCCCGACCCCAGCACTCTTGTCTCCGACCTCAGATGGTCTCAGGCGGTCAAGGGCCCAGAGGACAAAGTTCCGAGCTCAGCGGCCCTACAGGAGGCCGCTGGAAAGCTCATGGAGAGGGTGAAAGCTGCCAGAGAAAGAACGCGGGGGCCGTGGCCGGAGGAGGACGGCGGCCCGTGAGTACTGGGGAGCTGGGTCTGTCTGAGGTCGGCTCCCGGCCTTGGCAAAAGAGAAGTCTGTGATTCTGTGGCCTTTGCGGAAGGACGCAGCCAGTAAGGCGCTGGCGGCCCGGGCTGAAGAGGCAGTTCTCGAGTCAGCTCTTGTAGCATATGCTCGATCTGTTCGACATGGTCCTCGATAAGATGCAGTTGCAGGCAGCAGCGGAGAAGCCCAAACTGCAGGCGGCCAGAAACCAGCATTTGCTCCAATTCCTGAAGAAATCTCATTTGAGACAGTCTTAGCTTTACAGAGGGTTGTCAAAAAAACAACTGGAGCAGCATGCAGGAAAGCGCGCGCCTGGAGGAGGAAGAGGGAGGAGAAGCCAAGAAGGCATGCCAAAATGGGTCTTCTGTCCGGCAGTTTCCAGAATGCCCATGTTGTTGCAGCTGCGGTGAGCTTGTTGTTTGGCAGGAGGAGGAGCAGGCGGTTGTGGAGAAGACCCGAGCAGAGGCGGGGCATAGCTGGTGGCACATGCCGCATGCAAGCACTGTAAGATGCTGGCCGTGGTAGAGTTGCAGGAGCCGGTGGAGATGCACGGAGAAGAGGCGGGTGTTCAAGAACTTAAGCACTGCTTGCATCAAGCTGACATAATCGAGGCGCTTGTCATGTCCAAGCTCGCTAAGTGGCAAAAGTTTTTTTGTGGTCACGCCGTTGCAGCCGTGATCAGCCGTTGCACATCGACTCACACAGAATGTGTATGTACAGGAACGCTTCGAGGAACAGAAGCAGCCGAAAGAGGTGCCCTGCCACGTCATGCTAGTCGATGCCCCACACTCGTACCCAGCAGGAGATGGTTGAGATGGTCCCGGCAGAGGAAGAGGCAGTCGCGGGCACTAGCGCACTGGCTGGCATGCAAGCTGATCGTGTTGGCCAAATAGGCTGCATGGCGTTTTGACTCGGTGCTTCTTGAAGAAACAGTATAGACTGTATAGACTTTCCGATGCCAAATCCGTGTCCAGTCCGTGTTTTCGCCAAACGAATCAGCTTTAAATTGCCTGTACCCCGGCTGGTGATATTGGTGGAATCATGTTGGTCGTGGCTCTCCTGGTCTTGGTCGTGGCCGTAGTGGTGCTTTATGATTTTGGGGGGCATAATTCGGCCGGAACGGCCCGTGGAATAACGAAGCCAAGCGAACTCGAATCGTCGGAATGCGTCGAGGTGGCTGAGGCTCTGGAAGGATTGGCAGACCGGATGAGCAACGAATGAGGGAACGAAAGAACATTCACTTTAGGAGGCTGTCCAGACGCACATGGCTGGTGGAGCAAGAGGAAAGGGGAAGACGAGAGGTGCAGCAGAGAGTTTTCTGTCCGGCAGCTTCTGTGTGTCAGGGGGAGGCGGTTTTGGAGAAGACCGGTGCAGAGGCGGGGCATGCTTTATGGCATGTGCTGCATGCCGGCGTGCAAGCACTGCAAGATGTTGGTGGTTGCAAAGTTGCAGGAGCCGACGGAGATGCACGGACCAGAGGTGCGTTTTAAGAAGCTAAGAACTGCTATCAAGCAGATATGGATCCCATTTGAGGTTTTTTTCCTCACACCCGGGGTGCAAAATCTTGTGCCTTGGATTCTCGAAGTGTAGATAAAGCAGATGTACCTGCGCTGTACAGGAGCCGGAAGCACAGAAGAAAGCCGAAGCGGAGGAGGAGGCTAGACAGCTTGAGGCTAGCCAGTCGATTAATTGGCGCTTCGTCCGACAGCTCGACTTGTCCTTACCACGCTCATCCATCTGCTGCAGCCGTGATCAGCCGTGGTACACCGACTCATTGCTAAATGCTTATGTGCAGGAAATGGAACGGTTCGAGGAAGAGGAGCAGCCCCAAGAGGTCCACCGCCACATCTTGCTAGTGGATGCCACTGCATTCTTATCCATACTTGCCACGTCAAGCTGCCACGTGGTCACTCTGCGTTGAGAAGCAGGAGAAGGAGACCGAGAAGGTCCCGGCAAAGGCAGAGGCATTCGTGGGAGCTACTTGTGGCGGATCCAATCCGTTTTTCGATGTAGAACACTACTCCAAGTTCGGAGGGACGGATGTTCGTGAAAGAACCAAGACCAA